GGTATTAAGAATGTAAGCCTACACATTGAATTCCAAAGCAGCAATTATTGATACTTCTAACAAGAGGAGAATAAAAAAATAATAAATAAATAAATAAATAAAATAATTTTTTTAAAAAATTAAGGGGCTGGAGAGATGGCTCAGGGGTTAAGAGCACTGGCTGCTCTTGCAGAGGACCCAGGTTCAATTCTCAGCACCCACATAGCAGCTAATAACTGTAACTCTAGTTCCAGGGGATCCAATTCCCTTTTCTGACCTCCGAAGGCATTGCACAACTCATACACATAGAAAAAATAATAAAATATAAGAGATTTTGTTAAAAAAAAATTTAAGCCAGCCATGGTGGCATGTGCCTTTAGTCCCAGCACTCGGGAGGCAGAGGCAGACAGATCTCTGTGAGTTCAAGGCCTGCCTGGTCTACATAGTAAGTTCTAGGACAGCTGGGGCTACAGGGAGACCCTGTCTCAAAAAGACCAAAATAAAAAATAATAACAATAAATAAAAATTTTAAAGTGAAGCTATAACTTTTAATGTAAAAGATTACCTAACTGAATCCTTCCTTTGCACCATGTTAAGGTATAAGCTTATTGAGGACAGAGATACTCTTAAATTCATCTCAGTGAAGTAGCCCTCACAAAATATATTTCTCAGTTGGGATAGTGGTATATTCCTATAATCACAGAACTAGGGAGGCTGAGGCAGGAGGATGGACTTCACAGGATAAAAATACAGAAGGAAAGAAGGATATAAACAGAAGAAAGAAAAGGGGGAGGGCAAGAGAAAGAGAGGGAGACAAAGATTTTCATTGGTGGTACTTGGTAATGTTTATTGAAGCTCTCTGAACTAGACAGAACCTCTGTGCTTCCAGTTTTGGTTTGCATGATAAGCAAGGAAAGCACACTAAAAGGCACCAGCAAAACCAGAACTACAAAAAAAAAAAAAGAAAAAAAATTATTTAAGGATTTGATATATGATGCTGGAAAGATGGCTAGAGGACCCAAGTGTGGTTTCCAGCACCCACATAGGGCAGTTCACAACTGCCTATAACTCCAGTTCTAAGGAATATGATACCCTCTTCTGGCCTCCATGAGAATACACACACACATGTGCATACATACAAATATATAAATCAAAAATAATCTAAAAATAATCTAATTTTTTAAATTTTATGTGTGTGAGTCTTTGCAAGCATGTAAGTGCACCATATGTGTGCAGTGCCCACAGAGGTCAGCAGAAGGCGTTGGATCCCCGGGGGCTGGAGTTACAGTTGGTTGTGAGCTGACAAAGAACTGTGGAGTAATGGAAATTGAACCCAGGTCCTCTGCAAGAGGCACTCAGTGTTCTTACCCACTGAGCCATCTCTCCAGCCCTAGAATTTAACGTTGAAGAAAAAATCTTGTCTCCCTGTAGCCCCAGCTGGCCTGAAATTTGATATTGTAGACCAGGCCAGTCTTGAATTCACAGACATCCACTTTCCTCTGCCTCCCAAGTGGTGGGATTAAAGGTGTGCACCACTGGAGGGATAGCTTTAAAGGCTAACAACCAAAACGTATGCATATATTTTACATAATGTGTCCAATTTCATTCTTTCTCATTACCATGTTTTCTCTAGGCAAGAAGCCATTATATTTTATTATTTTTATTTTATGCATATGAGCATTTTGCCTGCGTGTATGTAAGTGCACCTGTGTCATGCAACACCCACAGAGGTCAGAAGAGGGTGTTGGATCCCCCAGAACTAGAATTAGGGCGGTGGTTAGCCACCATGTGGATACTGGAGTTCAAACCTGGGTCCTCTGCAAGAAAAACCAGTGCTCTTAACAGCTGAATCATCTCTCCAACCCCACAAGAAGCCATTAAATGCCAGAAAACAACCTTTGTAAATTGAACTAGTCAGTTATTGCTTATGGGCCAATAGTGCTGTTCTATCACAACTTCCAGCTTTATTAAAAAATTATAGTTCCCAGAATAAAAAATTACATTATTATTTATTGCTGGCATATGGGGAATCCTAAATGCTGTATTTTAAACTATCCAGGGACTGGAGAGATGGTTAAGAGCACTGGCTGTTCTTGTAGAGAGCCAGGGTTGGGTTCCCAGCACAATCATTGGTAACTCCAGTTTCAGGAGATCCGATGCCCTCTTCTGGCCTCTATGAACATTGCATACACAAGTGCACTTACATGCATGCAGGCAAAACCATACAGGTGGTGCTGGACAGATTGCTCAGAGGTTAAGAGCACTGGCTGCTCTTGCAGAAGACCCAGGTTCAAATCCCAGCACTCATATGGCAGCTAACAACCATCTCTAACTTCAGTTCCAGGGGATCTGATGCTCTCTTCTGTCCTCCACAGGCAATGCACAACATGGTTGCACTTACATGCAGGCGATACCCACATACACATAAAATAAAAAATTAAAAAATAATTTAAAATTCACATAAAATAAATCAATTTAAAAATGTCTGTGCTTGTCCGTTTGAGACAAGGTCTCACTAATGTAGCTCTGACTGACCTAAAATGGATACGTAGACCAGGCTGGACTCAAACTCACAGAGATCTGCCTGCCTCTGGGACTGTTAGAATTAAAGGCTTATGCCAGGCTAAAATATCTATACATTTTTTTCATTTATTTCATGTGTGAGTATTTTGCCTGCCTGTATGTAAGTGCACCACTTGCAATGCAGTACTTACAGTCAGAAGGGGGCGTCAGATCCCCTGAAACTGGAGTTACAGGCAGTTGTTAGCCACCAGGTGGGTGCCAAGAACCAAACCCTGGTCCTCTTCAAGAGCAGGCAGTGCTCTTACCCACTGAGCCATCTCTCCAGTCCCTCTAATTATATGTTCTTAAAGGAGTTAATTTTGTTGTACTTAATTCACAATATTCCGCTTTAGTTACCTCAGCAAAGAACTTTGGTTCTTCCCCCCCCCCGCCCCCCTCCCCGTCAACAATTTAAAGAAACACTACCAGATTCTTTCTAGTTTCAAGTTTCTGTTAATAGCCAACCTGCTGCTAGAGTGTCTAGGTGTTCCTTGGCTGTTTTAATATTCACAGTTTACTTCAAGGAACTGGGCACAGATGTTGCTTGAGGATATATGTGTGAGAGGCTGGTTCTAATTGGACCACTTGTCATTTCGTGCTTGGTTTCATTTTGACCACTAGATGCATCATGCAACCAGGCTGAATATTTTTCAAAGCATAAAAGTAAGAGAGCAGTAATGTTACACACTGAAATAGGACGTTAAAAGTACAGAAAGTCGGTGTTGGATGATGGAAATAAATGATTATGGGTAGCCTCAGACCACCCTCCCCACTTCCACCTAAAACAATAAAGCTTCCGAGTAGTGAAAGAAATTCGGATCAAAGGCACAGGTAGCTTTACTAGAAAACACTTCCCACGGCTTATTTTAAGTTTTGTTATAAATTAACTGCTCTTTTCCCTTTCTAGAATAGACAAGTTCACTTTTTCTGGACTCTGGAACTTTATGACCTCCAGTTGGTTATGGTTTCTTATATTTTACGTTTTCGCACAACTCAGACTACCAAAGACTTTCGCTTTTTTGTGATGCTGTTACTCAGGTCCCACTCCGTGGCCCTGGGCGACCTCTGACAGGTGCCAAGGCCGGTGCGGAGGGAAGAAGGCCGGGTCCTCTCGGTGCACGCCCGGAGGAGGCGGCAGCCGCAGGCCAGGCCGCAGGAACCCGGCGAGCCTGGCGGGGAGCGCGGAGGTGGCCTGGGCGGCCCAGACAGCACAGCGGCCTACTCGGTGTGCGCCAGCTCGCCCTCGTTTCCCAGCGCTGCGCCGGGAGCCGCTAAGGCCTTTCCATTCTCGCGGGCAGTCTCTCTGCACCGCACGCCATCCCGCCCGGGTAAGGGCTCCCGCCAGCCGGAGGAAAGTAGGCCCGGCCCGGCCGCACGGCGGCGGGGCAGGAGCAGCGCAGAGGCCGGTAGGGAGGCCGCAGCCGGCGGCCGGAGTTCAGCGGGAGAGGGCGGGGCGAGCGCGACCGCGGGCCGGAGGCGGGGCGTGGGCGGGGCCCGGCCTTCCCGCTCCCCGGGCGCAGCAACTCGGCCGAGCCTCCTTAAAACTCTGCCGTTAAAATGGGGGCGGGTTTTTCAACTCAAAAAGCGCTCAATTTTTTTCTTTTCAAAAAAAGCTGATGAGGTCGGAAAAAGGGAGAAGAAACCGGCACCGTCCGTGCAGAGGCAACAGAAGCAGCAGTCGTCTCAGCGTAAAAAGGAGCCAGGGAAGGCGGGAAGGAGCAGCTCTCAGCCGGGGAAGACGCTCCCGAGTCTGCCGCGGCGGAGGTAGCACGGCCGGAGATTTGGGGACGTCCGACGACAAAAACTGTCAGCCGCAGCGCCGCGACTCGGGAGGAAGCAGTGCTCCCCAGCTGGGCTCCAGGGCCCCGTTGGCCGGCCGCCGCTGCCCCGGGGGCCGCACAGACTAGGGGCACCGGCCGAGAGAAGCTGAGCCGAAACCGCTGGGCTGTCGTGGCGCTTTGCCCCAGCTTCCCGGGACCCTTCCTGCCTCCGGAGGCGCCCAGAAAAGCTGAAAGGAAGAGACCGCGGCGGAGGCTAGGCTCTGCGGGGGCCAGGCGACGCTAGCACAGTCCTCGGCGGGAAGTCCCCGCGGAGCAGGCAGGGTGCTCCGCGATGCTGCGCCCAGCCGCTCCGGCCCCGGCTGCCTAGACGCTTGCCTGGTCGCCCTCCTCCTCCCTCGGGTCGGCATGACGGGCTTGCCGGGGGTCTGCCGCGCGCCCTCCCGCCTCCGGAGACCCGCGCCGCGCCACGCTCCCACGGCCTCCGAGGCTCGGCGGGGCTGCGGCGGCCCGGCGGCCCGGCTCCGGAGCCTCCTGGCGCAGCGTTAGCCCGCATCTCGGCCGGGACCCGACCCGAGGCTCCTCGGAAGAAGCGGCGCGCGCGGGGGAGGGCTTGAGACCTGTAACCGGAGGGCGGCGGAACTGCCGCTCCCGTCCGCCTTGGGCGCTCAGCTTTAACCCCCGGCACCTCAGCATCCAGCCGCCGTGCGGCTCTCCCGGCCGCGGCTCTCGGTCTACTCCTGCTGCGAAACGGATGGAAAGCCAGCCCCCCGGAGGACCTGCCCCCGAAGTTCTGGCACCTTCACCATCGTGAGCAAGGGTGGGTTAATGCCTTTCCTTCCCGCAAACGCTTTTTCCTTCGTGGTGTTTTCTGAACTGACCTAGTCCCTTAAGTCTCCACACATCCTCCTTCCAGAGCGCCGAAGCTTAAGTGCTTGACAGCTCTGCCTACACTTCGGTCTATAAATTAATCAGGACTGTCAGTGTGTGTGCCTGTATTCCTCTTTGGCATCACCAGGATCCTTCTTAGGGGTTAAGCTAAAAAGCTAGGAGAGGAGCCCCTCTCCAATGGGCTCAGTTTTGCTGAATAATCACGTGTGAACCGAGGGGCGGGCTTTTGGCAGGCAGATTTTACTAGTATTTACTACCAAGCTCTACTCCAGATTAACCATCCCAGTCCTTCTGTCAGTCTCCGATGCCATCATGCAGCCTGGTTAGGAGCAAAGGAAAGGGGAAAAAGAGAAGCAACTAATCATCTTTTCCCGATCGTCAGGACCCTAAAGAATGGCCGAGCCTTGGGGGAACGAGTTGGCGTCCGCAGCTGCCAGGGGGGACCTAGAGCAACTTACGAGTTTGTTGCAAACTAATGTAAACGTCAACGCACAAAATGGATTTGGGAGAACTGCACTGCAGGTTGGTATCCACAGAGGTGGGGGAAAACAGGTTAATTATGTTGCCTACCGGGGTCTCAAAAATGACAGCTTTTAAGTTTTCAGGGGTACAATTTTTCACCGTTTTAAAGCCTAGTTGGTTGCCATATTTTATAACTAAGTGGATCCAACTCCCCAGAATGACGTACTTTGAAGAAAGTCATCAAATCCAGTAACATCCTCGATATCAAGAGAATTCCAGGTTTGGTCACAATTTTTGGATTGTTTTTGTGACTGTGGGGATTTTAAAGTAGCTTTGTTTTGCTTTGTGTTGTTTTGGATAGCTCTTAAAGCACATTATTATGATTATTATTTGAAGTACGCAGCTACTAGTGGCTTCATGTATTTTGCTTCCAATAATTGACTTCACAGTTAATTTCCTTGACTACTACCAAGAGTGTTTTCCTTCAAGTGCTTCATGTCTTGACAAACGACCTTTCCTCATTTGGAAGGGTTAGCCTGGGCACCGGGACAGGATGTACACTTCACAGTTAATATAGTACCATCTACTCATTCAGGAGTGAGGAAAAATAAAAAGTTGAGTTTTCTCATCAGAGCCGAGCAGTTGCCTTTTCTCCCTTCCATCATGCCATGGCATGCTAATTTTCAGTAATTGGATTTACAGGCAACAACTGACACATATCCAGCTGCCAAGTATGTACCTGGTAGTATTTTTCCTCCACCAAATATTATCACGTAACTTTGTTGAGAGGCTTAGAAACAAAAAATTGGGAAGTATTTTCCAATAGCTACTTTATCAGTGTTCTGATGGTCTTCTTGCTGCTTTTGAGAAGCTGCTTTTGAGAACTTTTGGGTGAGGGCATTAGAGGGCTTTGTTTCTGTCATAAAAATTAGAAGTTTAAGTGGCAAAAGATATCACAGTGGAAGTGCATGTGGTGTGTACATTTCACAACAGAATACACTAGCTCACAAGTCTTGGAGTATTGAGGAAGCTTACATGTAAATACTAAATTATTTATCTCCATTCAGATAGATTAAAATAGGGAAAGGGTTGTTTTTTTTTTTTTTCCACCTAGTAGTTTTGAACAGGTTTGGTGACGATAGGAATGCCACAAATTTCATGTACTGAAAAGTTTTCTACTGAAAAGTCAGATTATATTGGTTTCACAAAGTATGAGCCGTTTCACCTATGCTCAGAATAACAGGATTTTTGACAAACAGAAACACCATATGATTACAATTTTTAAAGATTTTAACAAACATTTTTTTAAACAACTGTCCATTTTGTTTATATTAGCAAGCTTCTCAGAATAAGAACCCCCACTGTTGTGGCTTAGTTTTGGTGCATATAATGAAGCAGGCACACAAACAGGAGCTCAAAGCTTGGTTTTGGTCTCTGTAGTCCTGACTGAAACTGTGTCAGAACTTTCTTCGAAGACATTTTAATATTACTATTTCTGCACAAGTTGGGAAATTTTCTTCTGTGATTATGTTTATTTAACTCAATTACAGAGTTTTCTCCTTTCCTACGGTTTTCAACCAGAATAATATCAAAGACCTTAATCGTACATTTGCTTTGCAAACATCTGAGGTGTCTGTCTCTTGTTGTCACTCTTAGGTCCTGAAATGTGACTAAGGTTTTAGAGAGTTGGAGCAAAAGTTTAAATCATACTATTAATTTTTATTAGTCAGAAAATGTATTTCATGGAAGTTCTGGAAAAATTAATTTTGTAGCATTTTCCTACTTACCCTGAAAGAAGGACTGGAAGGTTTTATCAAAGGAAAACTTAATGCCTTGATAAATCACACATCTTGCAGTTATAAAATAATATTCATTCTAAACATAGTTTATTAATTTGTGGTAATTTTTAAAAGGAACATTTTAAAGAGATAAATCAACATTGTATATTTTCAAATGGATTATTTGATTTTAATAAATATTGAGTGTCTCTTAAGTAACCTTCTTATTGTAAACTTAGATTATTATGAGTATACCTAAATACAAATGAGATCAGCTCAAATGCTGGAATTTTCTGACTTATTAATGAGAATGATTTTTTTTCAAAACTAAATTATATATATATGTTATATATAATTTATATATAATACATAAAAGACTCTC